GGGAATTTGATCCCGGGGTTCCCGCGCTGATCCCGCTGTTCCCGATGTTCTCTTGTCCCCAGGATTGGATCCTGCACCAGAACAACCCCGAGCACCTGGAGAGCTGCCGCCGGCTGCGCCAGCAGTAAGGGATCCATGGGAATCTGATGGGAATCCACGGGAATCTGAGGGGGATCCAGTGGGAATCTGAGGGGGGTCCATTGGGAATCGGATGGGGATCCACTGGGAATTTGATGGGGATCCAGTGGGAATATGATGGGGATCCACGGGAATCTGAGTGGGATCCATTGGGGATCAACTGGGGTCTGCCAGGGATCCATTGGGAATCAATTGGAAACCCAGTGGGAATAAACTGGGGCCTGCCAGGGATCTGTTGGGAATCAACTGGGGATCCACTGGGAATATGATGGGGATCCAGTGGGAGTCTAAAGGGGGATCCAGTGGGAATCTGAGGGGGATCCATGGGAATCTGAGGGGGATCCATGGAAATATGAGGGGGATCCACTGGGAATCGGAGGGGATCCAGTGGGAATCTGATGGGAATCCACTGGAATCTGAGGGGGATCCATTGGGGATTAACTGGGGATCTGCCAGGGATCCACTGGGAATCAATTGGAAACCCAGTGGGAATCAGTTGGGGATCAGTTGGGAATAATTTGGAAACCCAGTGGGAATCAACTGGGATCTGCCAGGGATCCGTTGGGAATCAACTGGGGATCCACTGGGAATCTGAGGGGAAGTCAGTGGGAATCTGATGGGGATCCAGTGGGAATTTGATGGGGATCCATGGAAATCTGAGGGGGATCCACGGGAATCTGGTGGGGACCCACTGGGAATCTGCTATGGGTCCATTGGGAATCTGGTGGGAATCCAGTGGGAATCTGATGGGGAACCACTGGGAATTTGATGGGGATCCAGTGGGAATTTGATGGGGATCCAGTGGGAATCTGAGGGGGATCCATTGGGGATTAACTGGGGGCTGCCAGGGATCCATTGGGAATCAATTGGAAACCCAGTGGGAATCAACTGGGACCTGCCAGGGATCCATTGGGGATCAACTGGGGATCCACTGGGAATCTGATGGGGATCTGCCAGGGATCCACTGGGAATAATTTGGAAACCCAGTGGGAATCAATGGGAGATCCACTGGGGAATCAAGTGGGAAACCATTGGGGATCCGCCAAGGATCCATTGGGAATGCACTGTGGAACCTGTGTCAATCCATTTGGAATCTACTTTGGGATCCATTGGGAATCCCCTGTATAATCCATTTGGGATCCACTGGGAATCAGCTGTGAGTTCCCAATGGGAATCCATTGGGAATGCACTGGGGAATCCATTTGGGATCCACTGGGAATCTGATGGGGATCCGCCAGGGATCCATTGGGAATAATTTGGAAACCCAGTGGGAATCAATGGGAGATCCACTGGGGAATCAAGTGGGAAAGCATTGGGGATCCGCCAGGGATCCATTGGGAATGCACTGTGGAACCCGTGTCAATCAGTTTGGAATCTACTTTGGGATCCATTGGGAATCCCCTGTGCAATCCATTTGGGATCCACTGGCGATCTTTTTGAGATCCAGTGGGAATCAGCTGTGAGTTCCCAATGGGAATCCATTGGGAATTTCCTTGGGAGTCCGCTGTGGGATCTATTGGGAATCTGCTGTGAGTTCAGTGGGAATCCATTGGGAATGCACTGGGGAATCCATTTGGGATCCACTGGGAATCTGATGGGGATCTGCCTGGGATCCATTAGGAATAATTTGGAAACCCAGTGGGAATCAGTTGGAGATCCACTGGGGAATCAAGTGGGAACCATTGGGGATCCGCCAGGGATCCATTGGGAACGCACTGGGGAACCCGTGTCAGTCAGTTTGGGATCTACGTTGGGATCCATTCGGGATCCATTGGGAATCCCCTGTATCATCCATTTGGGATCCACTGGGAATCAGCTGTGAGTTCAGTGGGAATCCATTGGGAATGCACTGGGGAACCCATGTCAGTCAATTTGGAATCTACCTTGGGATCCATTGGGAATCCCTTGTATCATCCATTTGGGATCCACTGGGAATCAGCTGTGAGTTCCCAATGGGAATCCATTGGGAATTTCCTTGGGAGTCCACTGTGGGATCCATTGGGAATCTGCTGTGGGATCCATTTGGGACACACTGGGGGTCCACTGGGAATCAGTTGGAGATCCACTGGGATTGCACTGGGGGATCCATTTGGGATTCACTGGGGATCTCCCAACAATCTGTTGGGAGTCAATTAGGAATCCACTGGGAATTCGCTCAGGATCCATTGGGAATCCACTGCTGAATCCATTTGGGTTCCATGGGGAATCCGCTTTGGGACCAACTGGGAATCAATTTGGAACCCACTGTGGAATCCATTTGGGATCCATTTGGAATCCACTGATGATCCATCAGGAATGCACTGGGAATCAATTGGGGATTTGCTGGGAATCCATTGGGAATCCACAGAGGAATCCATTTGGGATCCATTGGGAATCCACTGGGAATCAGTTGGGAACCAATTGGAGATCCACTGGGGTTGCACCGGTGGGATCCATTTGGGATTCACTGTGGATCTCCCAGGAATCTGTTGGGAGTCCATTGGGAATTCACTTGGGATCCACTGGGGATCTGTTTGGAATGCACTGTTGAATCCATGTGGGACCCATTGGGAATCAGTTTGGAATCCACAGTGGGGTCATTTTGGGATCCGTTGGGAGCATGTTGGGAATCACTGCAGAATCCATTTGGGATCCACCGGGGGATCCACTGGGGATATTTTTTGAATCCACTGGAAATAAATTTGGGATTCCACTGGGGATCCGTTGGGGAAATTTTTGAGATCCTCTGGGGAATCCATTTGGGATCCTTTGGGAATGCACTGTGGAATCCATTGGAAATCCACGGTGGGATCCATTAGGAATCCAGCATTCCATGATTCCCAATGTGTCCCACAGTGGATCCATTTGGGATACATTGGGGATCCACTGGGAATCCATTGGGAACCCACTGGGGATCTTTTGGGGATCCACTGAGAAGTCACTGAAAATCCATTGTGAATGCAGTGTGGGATCCATTGGGAATCAATTCAGAATCCACTGTGGGATCCATTTGGGATCCATTGGGAATGCAGTGCGGAATCCATTTGGGATCAGTTGGGAATGCACTGTGGGATCCATTGGGTATGCACCGTGGGATCCACTGTGGGATCCATTGGGAATAAATTTAGAATCCACTGTGGGATCCATTTGGGGATCCACTGTGGGATCCATTTGGGATCCATTGGGAATGCAGTGTGGGATCCATTGGGAATGCAGTGCAGAATTCATTTGGGATCAGTTGGGAATCCACTGTGGGATCCATTTGGGATCCATTTGGAACGCACCGTGGGATCNGGGGATCCACTGTGGGATCCATTTGGGATCCATTGGGAATGCAGTGTGGGATCCATTGGGAATGCAGTGCAGAATTCATTTGGGATCAGTTGGGAATCCACTGTGGGATCCATTTGGGATCCATTTGGAACGCACCGTGGGATCCATTTGGGATCCATTGGGAATGCATTTGGGATCCATTGGGAATGCAGTGTAGAATCCATTTGGGATCCATTGGGAATGCACTGTGGGATCCATTTGGGATCCATTGGGATCCATTTTCCCTTTGCCATTGGCAGATATCCCGAGTGGAATCCTGAGGCTCACTCCTCCAGCAGGTACCTGTGTTTTTCATTCCTTCTCTTAATTACTCATTAATGAATTAATTTTAATTATTTCTTTTCCCTGATTTGCACTCTTCAACGAGGTCACGTTTTTATTGTTAAATTTTATAAAAAACAAATTTCATTTCCCCCTTTTCCCAAATCCCCCTTTCCTCATATCCTCCCTTTCCCCAAATTTATTTGGGGAGTTTTTTCCCAGTTTTTAATCAGGTTTTTTTCCCAGATTTTTCCCGGTTTCTCTAGTTCAGTCCAGATTTGTCCAGTGTTTTTCTGGGTTTTTCTCACTTCCCCCATTTTCCCAAATCTCCATTTTCCCCGATCCACATATTCCCAATCCCCCTTTCCCCAAATCCCTTTTCCCCGGGTTTTTCTCACTTCCCCCATTTTCCCAAATCTCCATTTTCCCCGATCCACATATTCCCAATCCCCCTTTCCCCAAATCCCTTTTCCCCAAATCCCCCTTTCCCCAATTCCCTTTTCCCCCAATCCCCCTTTCCTCATTCCCCTTTCCCCAATCCCAAATCCCCCATATCCCCGATCCCATAACCCTCTCCCCAATTCCCTTTTCCCCAAATCCCCCTTTCCCAAATCCCCCTTTTCCCCATAACCCTTTCCCCAAATCCCCATATCCCCAATCCCATAACCCTTTCCCCAGTCCCACAACCCCTTTCCCCAAATCCCCCATATCCCCAATCCCA